CGCAAACTGCACACGTGATTACGGCTAATTAAGTAATTAATGGGCGCCTGGAGACTAAACCGTAACGTCGTACGTCCGCGGGGCCGTTTTAATTTAAATAGATTAATTCTCCCCGAATTTTCGGGATATATACACGAGTTCACCGGCATTTTCTATTAATGGCTCATTTGGCGCGTTTAAACCGCGCCGAGCGATGTTTTATCATCGTTCTGATATAGCTATGTGAATAATCCGTGTACGTATCGATGTACCAATTGCGGCTGGCCGCGACAAACGCCGAAAGCCCAGCTGCAGTCTTGCATGTTTCGGGATTTGCCGTCGATTGTGTTATCTCGCGCGTTTACCTTGCATATATGTATATAACGTGACAGAAGCGAACGATATACAAATATAAACTGAATAATTCGTAGATTACACAGTGACAATAAAAATAACAGTGATAAAAATATTAATCTTTTTATCTGGACAACTTGTGTTACAATTAGAATAAAAGTTCATTTAAATGTTAATATCCATCAACTCTATATTTTTTAGATTATATTATTATATTCTCCGTTTTTTATCAGCTATTGCATAATAGTACGACATTAAGAATATTTAAAAATCATGAAAATCATTATAAATTATTTTCTAAAAATAAAACGGAGCTGAGAAGAGTACAAATGCATGTCTCGCAGTGTCAATCATCCGGTGAGATCCTTCCAGCTTCCTCTACTTTCCTTCCACTACCGTTGAGCAATCGAGCCGCAAGTTCGATCCTTTCTCGGACATATTCCGCTCTGTGGTCGCCGGTAATCGCGTATTCCCGACAAGGTAGATAGGTAGGTATTTTCATGCGGCCGTACTATTCTGGCGAGCAAAACCGTATGGTCTTATCTGGGAAATAATGTTTCGCGTGTATCGCGTAGCCGCGGGTTTTTCCTCTCCGTCCGAAACTTTCACAACTGTTGCAACCACACATATACACACGAATTGTATATCCCGGTGCGATTCCACTCGGTCACGAGGACGCATATATATCGCCGCCGAGGCATGCCATGCCGCTTCGCACTTCCCATTGTTGGCGGCGGCGGACCGTATTCAAGTATCGAACCGCGATAGAGTGGCCTCTTTTCCATCTTGGTGCGGCGCCGCGGATATTAAGGTCAACGCGCGATCAGGGAGGACCGATTTTCCGTATAATTTCATACGGTATTACTACCGCATTACCACCTGAGTGAGGACTTTAGAGCACATTTGCGCTCCCCTTCGTTTTTCGAACTGCATGTTAACGAGTTACATTGTCATTTTCAACGAATATATAATGTCGATGGCTCCCAAATGGCGGGAAAAATCACGAGAAGAATATCTACCGTTCAGATTTTATTTGATCGAAAAAAGTTGATATCAGTATACGTTCACGGATGTAAACATTTTGATGTTTCAGAAGCTCCTGTATAAATAACTAAATATACATATAAAAGAAAAATAATATACTTTGTGCATTTTTCGAAGAGCTTCAGTTAATATTGCGATGCAATGTTTAGATTGTTTTAGAGTTAGGAATAAACTAATATTTCCGAACTGATTTCAAGAAATGACATATATACATAAAAATACACTCGATCAATAAAATACTTATCGAAAAATAATATACTTTGTGCATTTTTCAAAGAGCTTCAGTTGATATTGCAATGCAATGTTTCAATAAACTATTTTAGAGTTAGGAATAAATTCTAATATTTCCAAATTGAATTCAAGAAATGACATATACATAAAAATACACTCGATCAATAATTTAAAATTGAATTATACGTGTTTGAATCTTTAAACCGACCTACTACGTGTTGAATTACCCTGAAAATACAGCTCCGAGATAAAATAGCTATTTCCACGTTCAAATATCAATTTAATGAAATTATCTGTGTGGATGTGAGATAACGTGAAATAACCGATGAAGAATATGATGATACAGATACGTAGGAACGATGGAATATATCTTGCCACCGTTAAAAATACATACCATGTCCTTTCTATAATAACCATGCAACCTAATTTCGCAGTTACATCCGCGACTATACGTATAGAAATGAAGGGAAAGAAGAAGCGCCGCGGGACGCGTATATTCCGTAACCACGTTAGAGTTACGATCGAATCTTTTCTCTTTTCTTCGAGGATGGTGGGAACATATCTGTCGAAATGGCGGCTGTGACAAGTGGCGCGACAAAATTCTCCCGCGTGGTGTCGATACAATATATGGTTACATTTTCGTCGCGCCGACCGTACACACCCTTTAAATCCATCTTTACGACGCCGTAAGACGACGCGCGAGATCCGTCAAGATGACGGACGTTCTTTAAATTCAGCGGAAGAGAGAAGGAAGGGAATAAAGGGACCGGACGACTCCCCAAGGATACCGAATGTGTGCCTCCGCGAAATGAAATTCTGGCCGGTGCCCGCGCTCTCGCTCCCTCGACTGTAAATCGACCGGGATGTAGAACGACGAAGGAAGATAGATACATATAGATATAGGTATGGGTAGATAGAGGTATACGTCCTATACATCGAAGGTAAATGGAGAAAGCGAGCGAATGAGCGGGCCACCGAGTCGATCGAGATGTAATTGGCATCGCCAGAACGGTCGATCAATTCAAGATTCCGACGCACAATGGTATGCGCTTGATCCTCTCCCTTAATTGCACGGTGCCGAATTTCAGCGCGCGTGTGTGAAAGTCATTTCGTGAAATCGTTTCTCGCCGTTTCACAATTAGCCGAAATTCTGCGACACAGCTTAAAGTTCCTGGATCCTCGCCGCGAACATGTTGAATTGTGACGTTAGAGGCGAGAAAGCACACGCTGAAAATTCTTAGATGCGTCATTTTTTAATGAAAAGATATGTCGATGAAACACTATTTCAGATATGGCTTTAGTACACTTTTAAAATAGCTGGGAAATTATTCTTTTCCTATGACAGTCAATCGAGAACCGTAAAATGATCGTGATATCAGACTTTGTCATGCAGAATGATAGAGCATGTGCAAAGAATAGACTGACTGAGCGTCATATTACAGTCATTTTACAGCTGTTGATTGATTGTAAAGCGAAAAGGATAGTTTTTGAGGTATTTTAAGAGCGCGTCAAAGCTATCTGTAGTGCTATTTCATCGAAATATCTTTTTATTTCGAAATGGCATCTAAAATTTTCAGCGTATGTTTTTTCGAATCTGACATCATAATTTTAACTTGATCAACGATTTGACGGATTTTACCAGATTTAAAAGAGGAGGATTAATTTAATAATCCGTGTTTTCGGTGATCAAATTTGGATGTTTCTAAACACGCGTATTCTTTTCAAATCTCTGAATTCGAGCATCAATTTGCTGCGGCTATTAAGTATGTGTATATCACTATATAGTGTTAAGTGCCAACAAAGTGTTCAATAAACGCAACGGCAATCATTACTCATTGGATATTTTATGAAAATTAGATATGGATACACATCGGATCTATATGCGTTTCAGCGGTGCGTCAGCGCGTGCTAAACGTGAGATATTAAATACATAATAATGAATTGAGTGTTACTTTGCGCGGTAATCCGTATGTCATTTCAACTAATCTCGATTCCCATGATTACTAGACCGTGAGTCGATAGCACTATTTCAAAATTAATTGCATTTCCCACGCGTATTACATAATCATTATGCATATTATTAAATTATAATTGATATAATCATCGTTATTGCTACCGATTTAATACCGATATACTTAATCACATTGATTGACTAAGCTGCAAGATTTCTCTTTTTTTTATTTTATGAATTTACACGCGTACGCGTTGAAGCGTGATAAAATATGATCAAAACCTCATGTTATTTATAATAATTGCATTTTTTCCGGACAGTTTGATTAGATATAACCATCTTCTTAAGACTTTTTTCAGTCGCATGCAAAACCACAAAAAACAAATAAATTATATATTTATCAATAATCCTATTGTGATATAACAATCATTTTCAATATGAATAATTTTAGGAGAGATACGAGATATAAATCCACATAACCCGGAAGCTTGCGCGAAGCATTGATTGAAGGATAATCTTCGACCACCAGATAATAATGCAATACGCATTGTACATTTCATACATAGCGGTCATATTCGATATTCGGTATAAAGTACATAATATGTAGTAGTAGTACTACTAGTAGTAGTCGTAGTAATAGTAGTAGATCGTATATGCGTCGAAATGAAAAAGGTAACTGCGTGCGCACGTTAATTAATTGGCTTGACTAAATGGCAAATACCTCGTCCGCGAAATTACATGCATGCGTCAATAGGTAAGCCGGAAACGCCGGCAATCGAGTCGATCGCTGAGCGTAAAATCGCGCGCAGAGATCCCGGTAGGTACTCTCCATTTCTAGCAGCGTGCAAAGTTAACCGCGAATGCATTCGTGAACGCTGATAAATTAAATTTCGATTACGAGAAACGCGTGTCCTCAAGGTATAGAGAGATCTGCGAGATCTGAAGAGCTTATATACGCTCTGAAGGGAATGAACGAATAAGTTGACCGATAGTCCGCTTTCCGATATTAAATTCGTTGCCTTACAGACGTTAAAGAGCTTATCAACAAGATATTGAAAACCGATGCGATTATTATTATGGCGAATCGACTAATGTGTCTATGTGAAAATGATTTTTCATAATAATCATAGAGATTATCTTCTTCTACGGTGGTAATACACGAATATCCCGAATTCTGCACACACATGCATCGTCACATTACGCGCGGTATTTCAGATGGACGCTCACGTTCGCCAACCGCACGTTGTGACAAACTCGTTACGATATTAAGTACCCTCGGGAAATCTTTCTTTTGAACCACGTGCTTAACGAACGTCGTAATGGAATTACCGCATCCGCGCGGCAAGAATTTGCAGCTCGTTGGCCGTGGTATATTAAGTGGCAGGCCGGCAATTGAATTTCAAGTCACCCGGGCTCGGGGTCGATTTAACGCACTACTTACCTACGTGTCGAACTGGGATAGTTTCTCCTGGACTACTACGCGGACGGCACCATTGCGTCCGTCAGTGGTCGGCATCCTGAAATCAGACAAATGAATAATTTATTAATCATAGACGCTCGGGAACGTCATATCCTGCCTTAGCGATGAAACATCATTTTTGCGCACCCTTTTCTTTTTATTGGTCGAATAGAACAATAAATGCTTTTCCACGATTAAACTACACATATAGAAACAAAGCGCGAACCTTTATCGATTTTATGTTAGGAAAGAAAATTTTTAATTTTTGATTTAAAATAACTTTTTCGTTCTTTTTTTGAGATCCTCTTAATAAATAAAATCCCAAACAGTTTTCGCATCTTCGCGCCTCACGTCGAGTCGACGTGTGCATACACATTTTGCGACGCGCTATTTTCATTTCTCCACGCAGCCATACTTTTCAAAGTATATTAAACTTGTGCATTTTTTATGCATTACATACAACACCGCCGCGCGCGTATCTGGGCGTTCCCTTTGAGATCCCTCCGTTAATACATCAGAGCGGGGTAACATCATCACTGCAAACGCTACTAAGGATCGTTACACACACATTACAACCGGCGTCTCATTCGCTTCCGTAGTTGAATCTCATCGCGTGAAAATTGGAAAAGTTCAAAGCGCTCGTCGTCGCCACTGGCGTGATGTTAAAGAGAAGGAAGGGTAGAGAGTGGGAGAGAAAGAGAGAGAGAGCACAAGCAAGAAAGAGAATTCACAAAAAAGAAAATTCGCCGAGAGGTCGTGGATAAAGAAAGATAGACAGAGAGAGAGAGAGGAAAAGCGTGGGATGAAAGAGAAGCCGCGGGAAATATTGTTTCCGCGGCTCGGAGCGATTGCGTTCGATTTTACGGAACGCGGCAACTCGCGCGGAAGAATCTATTGTGCGAGAGAGGAGTTAAATCGTGTATATTGCCGCAGTATATACGATTTAATATGCGCGAGCGCTATACGGCCGCCTCTCGTTCGTTGCGCCGCTCGCCGGCTTCCGATACTGCATACCGGCCAATTTTAATCGGACGTCGACCGATTAATCCCCGAAGCGAATGGGAGGCGCCTGAACTTTCGCGTTTAAGTCAGTCAGATGTTATCCGTAAGCAAGCCGTGCTCTCGACGACCCGTTTGTCTTTCGCGAGCTTTCATACCGTGCTAAATTTAAAAAAAATATATAAAAAATTGTATATATTAGTATATTTAATTATATTATTATTATATTTATTATTTTCTTATGTAAAGAAAATATTTCAATAAAATATCGTCGTATTTCGACACGTACAAATTTTTCTTCAAATTTGTACGATATATAATCATTTACTTAAAAATGCAAACTCGAGTAGATTAAAGAGGAACGTCGCGTCTTACATAATTTGTTCCCTATGCGCGTTATCTGTAAATAATCGATTATATAATAGAATATTAAATCAGTTTCTTATATTCTGAATTAAATCTGACGTCTGAAATCTGTTAATCCAACGCGAGGATTTCATGATGTTTCCTAGCTTTCGCGGTGACAAGTACGAGCTATTCCACTTAAATAATCACGCGACATTTGCCTAGATTAGCGCCCGTCTGAATTATGCGAAATTCCTTCATAATTCACGTTCCGTCATGTATCACGACAATTCGTGCAATTTGAACCGAGCCGGGCGTCCTATATATTCCCAGTATCGCTGAAAATCGCGTAATAGAGAGATGACTCGCGGAATAGAGAGAAAGACGTCGCTCTCTCGTATAAACCATTGCGATCTCTCCGTATAGCTTTACCGCCACTTGTAAGGAATCGCGAGTAATTACCACTAACTAATTATTCGCGGTTACATCCGGCTTCGCGCGTGAGGTATAATCGGTTAGGTTCTCCGATGGAAAAGCAAAAGGTTCCCGCTTTGCGTGGAGAAGCCCTACCGTTTGCTCTTCTCTCTCCCGTTGACAGCCCACCTTTCCCTAACGTTGTTGAGCGTATTAGGCTTCACGTCGCTGTGTGACATCGGCTTATCCAAGACCTGTCGGCGCCTTCATTAGTTTGACCACAATTAACATCGACGGCCATTGCTATCCCCTTATCGAGAGAACATCCTATATATTAATTGACTATGAATACGTCGGTCGATTCATCCGAAAAACGCTTAGAAAAATGGTTGGTTCTGCCATCGAGTAGGTCCTCGAAGTTCGATGAAAAATTTATAAAGAGTCGGATTTACGAGAGACGACGACGACGACGAAGAGGAGGAACACCTCGTGTGCTTAACGTTATACGATGACGATGGGAACACGACGATGGCAGTGGCGGTGGCGTGCGAATGCAGACAGGAAGGAGGAAAAACGTCAGACGAACACAAAATTCTCCTCGTACCATCGTCGACGTCGCGAGGAGAGACGATGGAATTTTTATAACGACACGTTTTGCGCCTGGGATTATTTTAGGGACGTTCCCGCGGGAATTGAGTGGGCGCTCGCTCGCGCTTCTGCAAGCATGTTCCGCCGAGAACCTGCACCCGGAAATGAATTCGCGTGTCGACAGCACGTACTTTCGACATTTTTTTTCTTCCTCTTTTTTTTCCGTGTTGCGCGAGACGTGGCTTGCTAATGTGAAAAACATGATGTGAAAACTTGCGTACGGGAGTATATTATTTTCGGTTGCTTATCTGGGACACAACCGAGGAATGTGATATATAATAAAAATAAAAGTCACCGCTGCGGAGTTTATCGCAATAATTTATTTCGTAATTAATTGGCATTTTTCCACCAACTTTTCTCGACGTTTATGAAATATCGTCGGAAGCGTAGAAGCGAGTGTAAACACTGAAAGATAATCGATAAGTTGCAAATTCGATTACTTTTCAATTGGTGAAAAACGAAACGCCATATATAGCGAGTTTGTTGTTGGAAAAATATCAAAGTGATCGAGTTTGAATTGTGCGAGTGCTCGAATTGTAATTTGCAATTTTGTTTCAAAATAGTGAGAATACACGAACGTGAGTTAACCGCGAAACTACGTCAGATAATTAATAAAATGCAAATTCGGTTAGTGTTTGATTGACAAAAAAATAAAACGCAAAGCAGAAAGTCAATTGAAAAACTGTCGAGCTGATCGAACGGTACATGTGCTAGAATTGTAATTTATTTTGATTCAAATGTTCTTGCACACATGTGTGTTCTATTTTTTTTTTTTTTACATTTTTTTTAATTGTAACATTAGTGTTCATGAAAAAATACAGATATATCAAAATTTTAAAAATATTTTACAAGTCATTCTATGAGTTTATTTTTTATTATACAAGTTGCAAAAATCGCTCGCGTCGTTTTTTTGCTCTATTCTGTTTTGGTAGTATACATGCTAGTACACACTTCGAAGATTTCAGGATTATCCTAAATCCTTTGTTGCCTTGGAAGCCGAAGGATTTCTCAAGGACCTGCACTGAATAGGTCCCCTTCAAACCTTCAAAGGTTGCAACGAGGTCTGTGCAATCTCTCTCAGGCCCGCCTTACCTTCTTCAATAACTCTGAAATAACGTCCTCCACATATCCAGTGTCCTAAAATTTGTACTCATTCAATACTCAAGAGAGGATCGATATTAATAGAGTTTTTCAAAGATGTGACATTTTCGAGATTGATTGCAACGTCTACCGGTCGAGAAAGACTTTCGTTTCCGCGAGTTTTGAAGCAGGGAATCTCTGTTGAATCAATTCCAGCGAAATGCTGGATAAGAACTCATAAAGCTAGACGCCGCGAAACACTTACGTATAAGAACGGCACGCGGAAATGGAATCGTCGCTTTGTGAAATGTAGCGATTCTTCCGGCGCATTTGTTCCAATGGTTCGGAATAATGTACGAATCGAGACGTCCGCGTCCACGCCATTGGCGGCCATTATTATCCGCCTAATCACTCGACTATCAAAACACGTTACGATCGCAACACGTGTACTTGGGAGCGGCCATTGCGACGCACGATCGGAGAACTTGATAGCAAGTTCCTTCCTTCGTCGCTTTTGATACGCCTTATCGCCGTCGAGCCGAACAATTACAGAACAAAAGACCGAGAGAGAGAGAGAGAGAGAGGGAGAGATCTGTGTGATCCAACGCGACCTCTAGCCCGGAGGGTTAACTCGGACCGAAGCGCGTTTCGTCATTGTTTCACGCCGAGGGATGGACTCTCATTGTTCCGTCGCGAGCCCTGCTCGTTATGCGCTTTCAACGGGGGTGAAGGTAAACGCTTCCAGGAATCCTGGCTCCCGGAGAACTCAGATGTGGGACGACGGTATGGCAAGCGGCCCGATGAAGGTGTTCCCTCGCACCTATGTGTACGCTCCCTCTCCTGATCCCGCTTCGTCCCTCATTTGTAGCCAACCCCGTAGGTACATGTAGGTCAGTACTCTCGAGATACGAAATAGCGTCGGCGGTGAGCGTGATACTGAATTATTGAATCACTATAGCTCCGGTCTATATCACCGCAGCGCAATAACAAGATTGTACATCCGCCATTACAGCTTCCCGTCTGGACAAATGCGATGGAACCAGCCGTCCAAAATTATTTCGTTGTTGAGCGTTGGTTCTTAGACGTCAGATCAAAAATCCTGATTAAACGTTCACTTTAATCGCGGAGATATAAGTGAAAGCGAATTATTAGATTGCGATCGAAACCATCCGGAGATTTCGCTTCTCTCCTTGCAGTTCATGTCGATACTGTCAAATGGATATTGAAAATTATTGACGATCTTATCTCGTTGGACTTCGCCAACTTTGCACCGTAATAAAACACGATTCCTAAACTATCTGATAATTAGAGAAGATAATAAGTTATTACTTTCAAAAGATTGGAACTAATGTTCATGAATTATTTATTTGGATTCTGATTCAGAAAGCAGTGTAAAAGTAGTTATGAAAAATTGATGAAAATATACGAGGAAATGCGGATACTATCGCGATGCCGTAAGTTATCGCATTAGAGTGGAATTTAAAGAAAATATCGTAGTGTTTGTGCTGCTGATTTTAAGGAAGCATCGACATCGCCTGTCGATACCTACGTTTCTTGAAATAACATCATTGG